TGTCCCCTACCCGCGTATTTTCCAGCCAGCGTGAGGATGGCGCCCTCCTCGCCGGGGCGCCGGTGGTAGACGAGCTCCCCGCCCAGCACCAGGCGGGCGGTGACGCTCTGCAGGAAATGGGCCACCACGATCACTGCGGGGACAGCGGGGACACCTCAGCGACGGCCCCGCCGTGTCCCCGGCGGTGTCCCCGGCCATGTCCCCGCCGCTGCTCACCGGAGCCGCCCAGCACGTCGGGGTTGCCCAGGGTGAGCGTGGCCGTGCAGTCGTCGCCGCGGTACTCGCCGTCGAACTGCCACGTCACGAACTTGGCCTGGTGCGTCTGCGGGGACGGGGACACGGCGGTGGCATCGAGGGGGACACGGGGATGGCTCGGTTTGGGATTGTCACCCCCTCCAGGGCTCACCTGGAACACGGCCTTGGCGCGGAGGCGCTCCCCCAGCAGATGCAGGGCCTGAGCGTTGAGGCTGCCGGCGCTGTCCATGTCCCCGACCAGGGTGGGGAACACCTGGGGACACCGCGGGGTGGGCGGGGGGACAAGGACAGCCACGGCCACCACGGGGACCCCCCAGCCCGCTCCGGCGGGTGGCCAGATTGTCTGAACATCCCCGGTCCGGAGCCTTGTGGCCACACCAAGGCCATCAATGGCTCTGAGGTCACCCGGGGGCCACCAATGACCCCAAAGTCACCTGAGGCCACCCTTCACCCCAGGGTCACCAATGTCCTTGAGGTCACCGTGACCCAAAGGCCACCAAACACCCCTGGAGTCACCAAAGACCCTGAGACCACCCTGAGACCACCCGTGACCCTGAAACCACCAGTGACCACAAGGCCACCAGTGACCCCAAAGTCACCTGAGGCCACYCCTCACCCCAGGGCCACCAATGTCCCCAAGGCCACCTGGGATCACCCACAACTCCAGGGCCACCAAGCACCCTGGAGTCACCTGAAGCCACCCAGCACCCCAGGGTGACCCCGAAGCCACCAACCACCCTGAGGTCACCAACGACCCCACAGTCACCCAGGACAAGGGGCCACTCGTGGCCACCAAGGCCACCTCAAGGACATTAATGACACCTTGTTGGGACCACTTGCCACACCTGGGGCCACCCTGAGGCCACCCACCACCCCAGGGCCACCCACCAGCCCGAGGCCACCTGGGATCACCCACAACTCCAGGGCCACCAACCACCCTGGGGTCACCTGAGGCCACCCTGAGGCCACCAAGCACCCCCAGGGCCACCTCAGAGCCACAGATGATCACAACAACCCCGTGACCTCGGGGTCATTGGTGGCCTCAGGGTGACCATGAGGCTCCAGAAAGGGTGACAACCCCAGGCAGTGTCTGTGACCGCCCTGAGGCCACCGAGCAGCCAGTGCCACCCGCGGGGTCACCTCGGTGGGTCCCAGCTGCCGGTCCCCCACGAAGGTGGCGTTGAAGCGGTAGCCGGAGGGGCCCAGGGTGCTCATGTGCACCGTGTGTGTCACCTGCGGGGACACGAGGGGACAACCTGGGGGTGAGGAGGGGGACAYGWGGCCCCCAYCTGTCCCCACCTGTCCCCTGTCCCCACCTGGAAGTGGCTGCTCAGGGTTTTGGTGACGATCAGCTTCACCCCTTCCATCTGCGGTGGGAACACCTCTGCGGGGACAC